GTCATCACCGATGACAGAGATCGTGGATCAGCTGCCTCCCCTACGTCCCCTAGTGCAGATCGAGACTGCGACCCAGGCATGTGCTCTTGACCGGAATCCAACCCGGCACCCTTCGGTCCGCAGGCTGACGCTCTATCCACTGAGGCAGACCGGCTAGGGCTGGGGAATGCCCTCTTAGCACTATTCCTGAGCACAGAATATTATATGAAATCCTGAAGAATTTGATTTCATCAAAATTAAACCTTCTCTTCCACAACGCATATTATATGAACATCTAAATGCATACTGAATAACAAGATATATTTACGATGTCTGTGGCGAATATTGCATTTATAAAATGTTCATAAGATTTTCTGATAATCAACATTATCCTTATAACAACTCTGGTCTATCTCCTGACAAAGGATATGAACAAACAGTTTATAGAACTGCCAAAAAGCAAACGAGTATTCAATGAGATGCTCAAATGCAATGGTAAATGGAGAAATGAAAAGTGCAACAGCGAGATATCATACCACCTACCAGTCTGGCAAAATGTATAGGCAGCTGGATGATACTGTAAGGATGTGGGCACACAGTGACCCCCATGTACAGCTGGTGGTGGTGCAGACTGGCAGAGGCATTTTGGAGAGGAACCTGGCACACCTAATATCAATTAGGTCTGTACCTACCCAATGACCTAGGCCCTTTTCTCCAGGTATATATGCCGGGGACATTCTCCCAAAGACACACGATTTCTTTTTATGTACACATATAATATTTTACACTAAAAGGGTTCATATGGAAGGTCTGAAAATAGGTGTAAGGAAATGAAAAGAAATACATGAATGAGTGAATGAAATGAGAAGGGAGCCCTGTAAGGTCAATGGGGATGGGTACCAGGATCTGAAGAGCATCCTGATGCCAACATTGCACACCTCAGTCACTGCAGGTGGTGGGTAATGAAGGGTGAAGGAGGTTGTTTCAAACATCTGGGCAAAACTTTTGAATGACAAAATAAAATTAAAAAAGTTCCTCATGCAGTTCAGCTGAGGGAAACACCTCAGTTAACAGAAGAGACAAAAACAGGCTGCTTCAGGCATCTCTCCAACTTTAAATACCAGACGACAAAATGTCTCCAGCATTTTGAGGCTAAAATAATCTGGAGCTAAGACATCCAAATAAGTTTTCCATGTGTGAAAGGTAACAGAAAGCACTCCAAGGTATGTGTAGATACCGAAAAATATACCATCACGAACATTTCTTGAATCAAAGAACAGGTTCCACAGATTTTTGAGAAGGTACCGGCAAGGCCTCCTCCGTGTCTGTAAAATGTACAATTACCTTTTGGAGAAAGAGGACGATCCTCAGGAGCATCTGGGCGCGGAGCTCCTCCAAGGTAAACAGCGTGCGGGGAGTGCGGATGAAAATCTTGGTCTTCCCGTAAGCCACGTCTTCCTGAAAGCCACACTGTTCGATCAGTTTCTTCACAGCCTCTTTGTCTGAAGGGAGGTCGTGGTTGGGCCAGGTGAATTCTGAGATCATCTTGTACCTGGTGAACCAAGAACAGGGCACGGATGAAGGGAGGAAAACCACGTGGTCTCAACAGGCGCAGAAAAACCATTCCGTAAATTCAAGATGCTTCACAGAAAAGAAAAGAAAGAAAACAAAACTTCTTTGGAAATTAGGAATGGAAATAAATGTCATAGCCTGATAAGAGATGTGGGAAAAAACCTCCACTAAGATCCAACACTCCATGATAACACCCCTTCCTAATGCAGGGATAGAAGGGGCCTTCCTGAATTTAATAAAGGCACTGCGCCAAGAACTTACAGCCGATATCATTTGTAAAGAGGCAACGCTGGAAGCATTCTCTTCACCAATAGAAACAACACAGGGTTGCCGCTATCACAGGTTTTCTCACCAGCACAGTGAGACTAATAAACGAACAGGTAAGTGATTGGGGAAAGTGCACAACTGACATTATTTATGCACAATATACTTGCTTCAGAGGAAACCAAGCAGATAAACTATTATCACGGAAAGAAAACTAAGCCGCATTCTGCATAGAAGATGAATAGACAAAAATCAACTGTGCTCCTATGTGCAAGTGGCCAACACTTCTTGGCCCCGTGGGCCTCTCACAGGGCAGCTCCCTACACACCAACTTCACGACAGTGTGGGTGTGAGCAAGATGGAAGGCACAGAGTCACAGCCCTTTGCAGCCTAATCCCACAAGTGACATCCCATCGTGTTTCCCATATTCCATTTTGCTAGCAGCAGATCACCAGGCCCAGGCCACCCTATAGGGAAGGGGACTAGACAGGGTGAATTCCAGGAGGTGGGGATCTTGGGACCAGCTTGGAAGGCTGCTTACCCCAGGGCTCCCCCTGACCCAGGTGCAAACTTGTTCAATACATGGAGTCAAATTTAGTCATGTTCACACTCTGCATCCGAATTTTAAGTCACAGCGAGAAAGGCTTTGCCCACTCTCATTAGTCTGTGGGTACCAGGAAGGCAGGGACTGTGTTTTGTTCCCCACTATATATATATATACCATGTTGCCTGCCATCTGATGAGGAAATGGATTTGTTGAGTGAAACAAACAAACAAAAAACACCCAGAAGGAAATACATCTAAAAGCTTACTCACTTGCCAGAGAGGGACAGAAATAGAAGCCCAATGAAAGAATTCTACTATGAAGAGAGAGGTAACATTACACAACATCATGTGGAAAAAGGAAACAAAATCAGAAACCTTACGAATCCTATATAATAAAAGGCTAATATGCAAATCGAATGAACTGCCGAACGACAGGTCACTATGACGCACACTGACCACCAGAGGGCAGACGCTCAACACAGGAGCTGCCCCCTGGTGGTCAGTGCACTCCCACAGGGGGAGCGCTGCTCAGCCAGAAGCTGGGCTCACAGCTGGCGAGTGCAGTGGCAATGGCGGGAGCCTATCTCGACTCCACGGCAGTACTAAGGACCCCTTGGGGGGTGTCCGCCTGCAGCTTCCTCAACTCTATTGTTCATTCACCAGATAGTCAGATGCTCACGCACGGTCCCACATGGGGAAGCCTAGGACTCCATAGTTCTCAGTGTGCTAGCAGGTTTCTTTGTTGAGACCATTCTCACCTGTGCAGAAACTTCTCGTATGCCTGGCGGAAGGCAAATCCTGCCCGTCGCACCCTCACGTTTTCCAATAGTCCAAGGTACTCAACCTGATGCCGGCAGCGCTCATCATCAAATACCTGCGGGGATTTCTTGTCATTGGGTTTGATGCAACGTACATAGTAAGGTTCCTAAAGAAATGAATCAGCAAATGGTGAGTTTCAGAAAAACCACAGGCCAATGGCACTAACACGCTAGTCTAATTTTAAAGAGTAAAACGATTCAAAGCTGAACTATGGTTCCTGTGACAGACTGCCTACTTCTGATTCACCTTTATTGCTATGGCATCCTTTTGGGACCCTAACCCAAAGTGAGAAGGGTTAACCCCTGACCTCCACCTTTTCAAGCCCTAGTGTCTGTGTCTGTCTCACTAGCCCCATGTGGTTGTTGGAACCACTACTCAAATCCCATCCACTTGCTCTGCAGTTGGCAAATTCCCCCCAGAGAAAGGAGGTCTCAAACCTGGGCTCTTCTCCATGGCTTCCAGCCCAGGAGTTCTCCACTATCTTGTTATCTCTCCAGTGTCTTTAAGCAAAGGTTTTGCATATTTTATTTGTGTTTCCTACATGTCCCCAGCATGGATGTGGGTTTAAATTACCTAGTCTGTGATTATTAAAGTAGAAGCCCTAATGTCCTCATTTCATATATCAGATGCCCAGAGACAACACCAGACCTGGACCATGTTAAACTAAATTGCTGGCCTGAACTTTTTCAGGCTACCCAGGTAGTGAGAATGTGGACTGCAAACCTCATAAAAAGCTACCTTATGATGATAAATTCTCAAGGGATGTTCACCTACTCCCTCATGGCTCACTGCAATTTCTCTCCTTTTTATTTTTTATTTTTTTATCTTTATTGTTCAGATTATTACAGTTGTTCCTTTTCCCCCCCATAGCTCCCCTCCACCTGGTTCCCACACCACCCCCTGCCCTTACCCGCCTCCCCCACTGTCCTCATCCATAGGTGTAAGATTTTTGTCCAGTCTCTTCCCGCACCCCCCGCACCCCCTTCCCCCCGAGAATTGTCAGTCCACTCCCTTTCTATGCCCCTGATTCTATTCTATTCACCAGTTTATTCTGTTCGTCAGATTTTTTATTCACTTGATTTTTTAAAAAATATATATTTTATTGATTTTTCACAGAAAGGAAGGGAAGGGGATAGAGAGTTAGAAACATCGATGCGAGAGAAACATCGATCAGCTGCCTCTTGCATACCCCCGACTGGGGATGTGCCCGCAACCAAGGTATATGCCCTTGGCTAGAATCGAACCCGGGACCCTTCAGCCCGCAGGGCGATGCTCTATCTACTGAGCCAACCGGTCAGGGCTCACTTGATTTTTTAAGATTCACTTGTTGATAGAAAGGAATATGTTGCCACCTTTGATGGACCTAGTTTATACCTTTACCTTTTTGC